GGGGGGGCACAGCTCGAAGCTGCAGCTCTGACCAGTGACCCTAGTTAACCAATCGGGGATGAGAACCCGGGTGCAACCAGTGGCTGAGAACTCGGTTTTGCTCGCTGGGCTGGGCTGCATGTGTGATCCTCAGGGAGTCCCTGGACTCTCCCCTTGCCCTACACCCCGACCTGTGCCTGCCTGGACCCCCTTCCCTGATTCTGCTTATCTAAATCCTCTCTACCCTTCAAGGCCCAGCTTGAAGAAACCCCTTCTGCAGGAAGCCTTTCTGTGACCAATTCTTAGGGCATCATTCTTTCTTGAAGCATCTACTGTCTTGACTGTACATGTACCATTCATCGGGCACCTTCCATGTGCTTTCATCTCACAGGAATCACAGTTTCAAACTCCAGGTCAGAGGTTGTACCTGCTTCAGCCCTAGTTTCACAGCATTCAGCCTAGGGCCTGGTTCTCAAAGGTAGGGCTGCTGCTTTATACTGCCTTTGTTCCTTTGTGTGCCTTTGTGCAAACCAGAAAAATAGAGCCCATTTCTCTGGCCTGATGTAGTTCTATGCTGAAGACAAGGATTGGTAATTCAAGCTAGATTTCAATTTTCACTTGTCCCTTCTTCTGGACACCTTTATTTATTTATTTATTTATTTACTTATTTAAAATATATCTTTATTGATTTCAGGGAGAGGAAGGGAGAGGGAGAGAGAGAGAGAGAGAGAGAGAGAAACATCAATGATGAGAGAGTCATTGATAGGCTGCAGCCTGCAACCCAGGCATGTGCCCTGACCGGGAATCGAACCCTGATCGCCTAGATCCTAGGTCGACGCTTAACCACTGAGCCACGCCCAGCTGGGCGGGACACCTTTAAAACCTTCATGACAGTATAGGTCAACCCTGCCTCAAGGAAGGAATTAATAAATAAACAAATAATTCTGAAATATGGGTATTTTAATATATAATGACATTGATACTCAGAGAGCTTAATTTATTCATCCAAGGACATACCCAGGACTGGCAGATACTGGGATTTGTCCTGGTCTGCCAGTCCCCAAAGCTCAAGGAGACACTGCGTTTGCCTGTCTTAAGCTCTGGTCTCAACATGAATCTAGCACTTTACATTTATTAAGCATTCTTCATGTTCACAGATCTTTTCCAACCTGAGATCGTCCACTTCTGGAATTTATTCCAAGACTGCTGCACCCTGGAGTGAATGTCTGGTTCTCTCCCAGGATCAGTGTCTCCAACTCTAAACCCTCCCTGTCCCTGCTAGAGTGTTACTGAAGTGCAGGAAACAGAGAAGAGAAGAAAAGACAAGGACTTTGGTACTAGATTAGCCTGGATTCTAATCACTACTTGGCAGCCAATTTGTTGGGACACTTTGGACTTCTCACTTAGCCTCATCTATAAAATAGAAGTCAGAGTAGCTCTCTCAGAGGGATGAGATATAGGTATGTGAACACTCAGGAGAGGTTACTTCTCTTCTTCCTTCCACTTTGCTGAGAGTGAGGATTATGTCTCTTGCTAGGTCTACACACAGGAAAACTGCAGCCTTTGTCTACGGAAGACTCTTTTTTTCAATTGAATTTATTGGGGGTGACATTGGTTAATAAAATTATATAGGTTTCAGGTGAACAATTCTATAATGCATCATCTGCATATTGCATTGTGTTCTTACCATCCCAAGTCAAGTCTCCTTCCATCACCATTTATCCTCCCTTTACCCTCTTCTACCTCCCCCAACCCTCCTTTCCCTCTGGTAATCACCATACTGTCATCCATGTCTATGAGTTTTTTCTTTGCTTAATCCCTTCACCCTTTCACCCAGCCCCACAACCCTGTTCCCCTCTGACAGCTGTCAGTCTGTTCTCTGTATCTAAATCTGTTTCTATTTTGTTTGTTTATTTTGTTCGTTAGAGTCCACATATAAGTGAAATCATATGGTACTTGTCTTTCTTTGTCTTATTTTACTTAGCATAATACTATGCAGATCTATCCTTGCTGTCGAAAAAAATAAGATTTCCTTCTTTTTTTACAGCTGAGTAGTATTCTATTGTATAAATGTACCACAGCTTTTTTTTTTTTTAAATATATCTTTATTGATTTCAGAGAGAGGAAGGAAAGGAGAGGGGGAGAGAGAGTTGAAACATCAATGATGAGAGAGTTGTCATTGATTGACTGCAAGCCCGCAACCTGGGCATGTCCCCTGACCAGGAATCGAACCGTGATCTCCTGGATCCTAGGTCAATACTCAACNAGGAGAGGGGGAGAGAGAGTTGAAACATCAATGATGAGAGAGTTGTCATTGATTGACTGCAAGCCCGCAACCTGGGCATGTCCCCTGACCAGGAATCGAACCGTGATCTCCTGGATCCTAGGTCAATACTCAACCGCTGAGCCATGCTGGCCAGGCCATTTTTAAATTTTTGAGGTAACTCCATACTGCTTTTCACAGTGGCTGCACCAGTTTGCATTCCCACTAACAGTGCACAAAGGTTCCCTTTTCTCCACATCCTCAACAGTACTTGTTGTTTATTAATGTATTGATGACAGCCATTCTGACTGATGTGAGGTGCTATTTCATTAATATTAATTTGCCTTTTTCTGATGCTTAGTGGCACTGAGCATCTTTTTATATATATCTATTGGTCATCTGTATGTCCTCTTTGGAGAAGTGTCTATTCAGTTCCTTTACCTGTTTTTTAATTGGGTTGTTTGTTTTTTTGGTGTTGAGTTTTATGAGTTCTTTATAAATTTTGAATATTAACCCCTTATCAGATGTATCATTGGCAAATATGTTCTCCCATTCAATGGACNATGGGCTGTCTTTTCATTTTGTTGATGGTTTCTTTTGCTGTGCAAAACCTTTTTAGTTTGATGTAGTTCCATTTGTTTATTTTTTCTTTTGTTTCCCTTGCCTGAGGAGATATATCAGAAAAAATATTGCTATGAGAAATGTCCAAGATTTTACTGCCTATATTTTCTTCTAGGATTTTAATGGTTTTGAGTCTAACATTTGTCTTTAATACATTTTGAGTTTATTCTTGTGTATGGTGCAAGAGGGTTGTCTAGTTTCATTTTTTGCAACTATCTGTTAAATTTTCCCAACACCATTTATTGAATAGATTATCTTTACCCCATTGTATGTTGTTGCCTCCTTTGTCAAATATTAATTGACCATAAAGGCATGGGTTTATTTCTGGGCTCTCTATATTCTGTTCCGTTGAGCTATATGTCTGTTTTTATGTTAGCACTATGCTGCTTTGATTACTATATAGCCTGGTAGTATAGTTTGATATCAGGTAGCATGATTCCTCCAACTTTGTTCTTTCTCAAGATTGCTGTGGCTATTCGGGGCCTTTTGTAGTTCCGTATAAATTTTTGGAATACTTGTTCTAGTTCTGTGAAATACACCATTGGTATCAAAAGGAATTGCGCTGAATCTATAGATTACTTTGGGTAGTATGGACATTTTAATGATTTTAGTTCTTCCTATCCATGAACATGGTATATAGTTCCACTTATTTATATCTTCTTTAATGTCTTTCTTCAGTGTCTTATTATTTTCTGAGTACAGGTCTTTTACATCCTTGGTTAAATTTATTCCTAGGTATTTTTTTTTTTTTTTTGATGCAGTTGTAAATGGTATTTTCTTAGTTTCCTTTTCTGATAGTTCATTATTGGTGTATAAAAATGCAACAGATTTCTGGATATTTATTTTGTATCCTGCCACTTTACTGAATTCATTTATCAGTTCTGGTAGTTTTTTTGGTGGAATCTTTAGGGTTCTCTATATCATATCATCTGCTACAGAAGACTTTTAATGAATTTTGTCAACCCATGACTAGAACTGCTTTTTCTTTTGACCTTCGGCAAGTTTCTTCCCCTCTGAACCTCAATTTTCTGTCTTTTAAATGGGGACAGTAATACCTAAATAACCACAAGAATTACTATTATTTACTGAATATTTACTATATATCAGGCACTGCAGTGCTTTATGGGTGTACTGTCATTTAATCATCACAATATAACTGTGATGGAAGTGTTACTAATATTCTCGATGTCACAGAGGAGGACACTGAGGCCAGAGAGGTAAAGTACTTTGCCCATGAGTCACTCAGCTGCTAAGCAGCAGCACTGGGATGTGAATCTGTTTGTAGCCTATTGACAGTTTGAGCCAGATAATTCTTGTAAGGGACAGTCCTGTGCACTGCAGGATGTTTACCAGCCTCCCTGGCTTTGACCCATTAGATGCCAGTAGTACCCCTCCCCCACTGTGACAGCCAAAAATGGCTTCAGATATTGCCAAATGTGCCCTGGTGAACTAAATCACCCTTAGTTAAGAGCCACTGCTCTGCCCTTTAGACAAAGTTTTTCCTCCACAATATGACAAGCTTGGGAAACTTCTTTCCCTCCAGGGGTCTTGAAATCAACTGCAGACAGTCATTACACTAATGCTAATACTGTTTCATATTTGTTATAGCCCATTTGCACTTACAAAGTGCCTTCTTATACATTAGTTTGTCTGAATATTCCAAGTGAGAGAGCACATAGACAGAAGTGTCTAGCACAGTGCCCAGCACTAAGTAAAATCTTGGCTTACTTTTATTGGTTAGATGAACCAGTGAAGGTTCAGGGAGGCTAAGTGACTGTCCCAAGGTTACACAGCTAGTAAGGTAGACTTGTCATTTGTTATATTGATTAGCTTTTTAACTATTGTTCTCAGCTATTCTACTTTAATCCTTAGAAGAGTTTCTGCTTTCATTAAGAGGAACAACACAAATCAGAAGAATAAGAATCTGTTTCCTAGAGTTGAAAAGATCCTAGAGGATATCTAGTTCAACTCGCTACAGCCTGTATTTGGATTGCCAGATAAAATACAGGATGGCTAGTTAAATTTGAATTTCAGATAAACAAGGAATAATTCTTTAATACTTTCCAAATTGTCACAAATATCAGTTAGAATAGTGGTAGCAGGAAGAAGGAAAGGGGGAGAGCTTTGAAACATGTTAAGATGTGGGTCAGAGATGGCAATTTGTTCCTGCTCCCCCAACATGTGTTTTCCTCTTCTATGTTAATGGAATCCCCAGTTTTCACCTGGGCACATGGCCATTCAGAATAAAATCTTTCTCAGTGATCCTTGTGTCTATGTATGACTATGTGACTGAGTCTTCTGATCTGTATAATGTGATGTAGTGCCCTTAAAGGAACACGATTGAAGTAGTCAGCTGTCTTGGATCATGTAGATGCTGGCAACATCATAGGGATGACAGAGCCATAAGCCTGGGCCCCTGACTAATTCATGGAGCAGAGAAAAGGTCCAGCTTTTACATGGGATAGAAAGAAACTTCTATTTTATTTGAGACTGTGTTTACTTTGGGTTCCTGTTGTAGCTGCCCAATCTCTGTTCTGACACAAAGTGGTGAAAAATCAGGTGAGGGTTAAGATGTAGAGACTAAAGGAGATGTGGGGAGAAGAGGAAGCTACAGAGGTTTTGTCATACCCAAGGCAGCAATTCTCTTTTTTCCCCAAATTATAAGAGAAAGTTACAGAGCCCTGGGCAGGTTGCTTAGTGCTTCATTCTGATATGCCAAGGTTGCAAGTTTGATCCCCACCTAGGGCATATACAAGAATCAACCAATGAATGAGTAAATAAGCAGAACAACAAATTGATGTTTCTCTCTCTCTGAAAAAAAAAATTTTCTTTAGAAAGTTACAGGAGTAGTAGAAGTGAGCCAGCTGGGCTGCATAGGCTTAGGAAACAAGTTACAAAAGCAAAAGAAGGGCTCTTGGAGCTTAGGAGAGGGAAAGACAAAGGTAATGTTCCTGGGGGGAAAGGTGGGCATGTGCTAAGGAAAGGGAGAGCGCAGCATTTCTTTCCTGAAATGTGGCCTTTTGACCCCCTGCAATATAATCATTTTGAGTGAGGTCCAGGAATCTGTGCGAGCAGCTTGGTGATTTGTAGGACCCAGGCCTCAGCAATCTCCTCTATCAAGCCCGAGGCTGGCCCTGCTGGATCTGGGAGATTTTAGCTCTGTCTGCTTTCCACAGATGTCTCCATGGTGACCCGTCCTCCAGACAGACCCCAGAGCTGCCTACTTCTCCTACCAGTAATTCAGTGTGTGCCGCTGCCCTCAGTTTATTTCTGCCCTTAAGATTTGGGACTGAAGACAAGCTCTGTCATGTTAGGTCAGGTCACTATCATTTCTTTTTATAAATCTAAATTTTATTAAATTTATTGGGATGATATTGACTAATAAAATTTTATAAGTGTACAATTCTATAATACGTCATCTGTATATTGTATTGTGTGTTCACCAAACATCCCTAGTGTTCATTGCAGCATTTCTTACCTGCGTTCCACAGGGTCCTGAATGATCTGGTCCCTGCTTACCTTTCTCACCCTTCTCCTTATCCCTTGGCTCCAGGCAACACTAGCTCCATCCAATCTAGTGTCTTCTTCCTTAGGGCCTTTGCAGGATCCCTACTGCATCTGCTTAGGACCTCCCCACTTCTTTCCCCCAAATGACTCATTAAAATTTCAGCCCTCAGCTTAAATGTCATTCCTCAGTGAAGCCTTCTCTGAACTCCAGAATAAGTCCAGTGCCACTTTTATACATGCTCATGGCTCCTTGTACTTCTTCCTGGTGCTTATCCTAATTGTAATTCTATAATAATTGGTATAATTATTTGGTTAATGTTTGTCTTTCCCACTATTCTCTAAGCACCATGACAGCTGGGAACATGTGTGTTTTGTTCACTGATGTATCCCTAGAACCTAGTGCAGAACCTGACACATAAGCAATACTCAAAAATACTCCTTGATGAATGTCTCTTCCAACCATAATTTTCCAGGAAGCTCCCTCATAGTAACACTCTCTTCCCTCCACTCTCCAGACCAACTCAGAGAAGTAAATAAGCAATAAGGATGGGAATTCCCTTTCTCTGAGGACCTCTGACCAGTTGAAGTTAAAAGAGGCTGAATCATTGGGAAGGAGTTCTGGAGGTCGGAAGGAGAGTTCAGCAAAAGACAGCGGCCTTTATTATATCCATAGCCAGAAATAACGCCTTTCCCCAAACTCCTAACTGGTGGTCTCTGGCTTGCTAATCTACCCTAAACTAATAACATATAGCTAAGGAATCAGTAATAAGATTTAAGGAGACAACTAAAATATAGATTACCAATTAAGGTTTGTCAAATAGCTAAACTTCTGTCGATGTAAGAAAAATCTAAACCTGTAGAAAATTTTTATGAGTTTATTTGAGCCAAACTGACAACATGTGCAGAGGAACAAGATCTCAGATGCTCTGGAGGGTAAGTTTGTTGTTTCTTTTATGCATTTGGAATTAATGAGGTAATTTAAAGATTACATGAAGGTGGGAAAAAGCAAGGCAGGGATTGGATTACAAGAGTAAGTGCCTTCTTAAGGGTGGTTACACCTTTGAGGAGTATTACTTCCTCATTTCAAAGGAGTATTAACCTCAATGCATAAGAACAGTGGACACAGCTTGCTTAAAAACCTTGAACTAAAGAAGTTATAGGCCTAGGGCATGACTACCCAGCATGACCAGCCCTTTTTCATTCACATTACTGAATGCTAATATATAACCTAATAAATAAACTATTTAGCCTAGAAGTAAAGTGTTAGAAGATAATTAAAGTGTTGGTAGAAAATAAAATATTAACTACTCAAGTGCTGGCTGATAACTGAGGGATTAATTTAAAACTAAGTTGTTAGCATATACTGGTTAACTAATGACTAAGGTAATAGTTGAACAAGATTTAAAGTGAGATTTTTTCCTAGGGGATTCTTGCACATTAGAGGGGATTTGGAAACAGCAGAAAGCTGATAAAGCCTATAGGAATGAAGGCCTACTTGAGACTGTAAAATCCTCAGCTGGACTCTAAACTTACGGAGAAACTGTTTGTCTTTGATTTTCAGATAGGATTTAGTCAGGGAAAGCATGGAGCTGTTGCTCAAAATGTTTGCATCTAATTACATTTCTTTTTTCTTCTTTTTTTAATAATACTTACCCAAGGATATTTTTTTCCATTGCTTTTCAGAGAGAGTGGGAGAGAGAAAAAAACCACATAGATGTGAGAGAGACACATCCATTGGTTGCTTCCAGCATGTGCCCCAACCCGGCTAGGGATCAAGGAGGTACATGCCCTTGGCTGGTATCAAACTCGGGACTATTCAGTCAGTGGGCCGATACTCTAACCACTGAGCAAACTGTCGAGGGCTGCCATCTAATTACATTTAATCTGCTAAGGGCCAGGCACTGTGCTGAAGAGAGAAGAGAGGGCAGTTGCTTAAACAATGGAAATAGAGTGTGGTGTCAGTGAGTGGTGTGTGATAGGAAAGGCTTAGGGGGGTTGCAAAGGTTGGGTGAAAGGAAAAGCATGTGAGTTTAGTTCTTGGTTTGTTGAAATGAGGTGTCTATAGACATGCCCAATAGGCAGGCTGATATGAATCCAAGGTAGACATTTGAGCCCAAGGTAGGCAAAAGCATGAGGGAAAAGAATGAGATAGCTACAGAAGAGTGTATGGAGTGAGAAAAGGGACCAGCCTAGAGCCCCAAGAACAACAGGGAAGGAATGGGCAGAGGAAGAAACATCAACCGACACTGAGAAGGAAGGAACACTCAGAGAGAGGGAGAAACCAAGGGAAGAGAATGGGTCATGGAGAAGGTTAAAGTCAGAGATGTGGCCATTGAGGACGTGGTTCTGAGATATCCATCACAAAAATGTCTGATAGCTGGGTTTCACTGCATGTGTGTGTACGCACACAAGTATATGCCGAGCTGGAGCACGGAGCAGGGCGTGTAAGGGCACATACTCTGCTCTCGAGTCCACCTTAGGGGCTTATGGTCAACTCAAAGAGAGCCTTCATTTAGTCCAGGGAGCTTTTGAGAAGGACCATTAAGGGAGACTATGAGAACTGTAAGCACAGGTCAACCCTTTCATTGTCCAATGGGAAAACTGAGGACAAGAGACAGGGAACAGTTTGCTCAGTCTGTGGGTCAGGGGCACAGCAGTACTTGAATCTGAGTCTGCTTCTTCTAGGAGAGTGACCTTCTAGAAGACATGAAGTAGACATGAAATTCTTATTGGCCAGTGAATTATCAATCTGTGACTTTGCCCATCACCTCAGTTTTTAGCTGCCTCTTTTTATATGCATATAAAAGTAAAAAATATATTTTACATACAAAATTCAAGCATTACAGTAATACTTAACAAAGAAAGTGAATGACTCCTGTTACCCACTTCACCCCCTCACAAATAAAACCACCATTAACAGTTTGGTCTATATTCCTTCCCCCTTCTCTCACTCTCACTTAACATTGTAAATTTTTTATTAAAATATTATACTTTATACTGGGTTTTGTGTGGGTGCATGTGTTCCTTCTGTTTTACAGTTGCCCTTGGACAACTTTCTATGATAGCATACAGAAATCTAATTCATTAATTTTAGTAACTATATTAGTGTATCATTTGGATTTGTACCATAACTTATTACCAGACCATGGGTTGGTAATAAGTTATGGTGATGGACACAAGGGTTACATCCAATTTTCACTGTTGTGAACATTGTATATACATATTATTGTACATATATATTTGCATAGTTTGGGAGTCTTCTAAAAGGAGAAATGCATCAAAGAGTATGAACACTGCTTTAAAAGATATGCCAAATTGTCCTCGAAAAACTTGTGCCAGTTTATTGTTCCAACAATAGTTTATGCAGATGCCCATTTCCCCACACCCTTACCAACAATGAATATTATCATTTTATAAATCTTTCCAACTTGAATGAAGTTGATTATCTTTTCACATCCTTATTATCCATCTATATTCTGTGAATTATCTATTCAGATTCTTTGACTATTTGTTATTGTAGTGTACTTTTGATCAGTGGATTCCCATTGAGTCCTAATGACTGACTTGATTTAAAAAAAAAAGGCATGGAATTCTTTGTACCAAATTACTAACAGTGTGTACTTCCAGGGAGTGAGAGTATAGAAAATGAGGGCTACATTTTCATTGTATCATGACATCCTGCATTATCTTACAATGAATTATATTACTTTTATAATTTAAAAAATAATAGAGGAAAACAACAACAACAAGTAAATGTTTGGCCTGGGTTCTCATTGGCGGGAAATTCATGTTGGGTGCAAGTTTTCACTGATCACAAGTTATTTTTTGGTTTATATGCAAAAAACATTTATTGAATGCCTCTTATTGAGCTGGCACTGCTCTAGACACATCCATAGGTCGTTCATTAATCCTCACAACAGCCCTGTGAACTAGGAATCGGCCTGTTTTATAGAGTTTTTAATAGGTAGGAGATTATTGCTTGATATACTTCTATTTGCCACATGTTTTCATGGGCTAGAGGTTCTTATTGACTGGTGATTTATTGGTCAGGAGCTGTCACTGACCAGGAGTTCTTATAGGTTGCTCTAAGATTCAAATCATCAAAATACTAGAATTTCCCCCCCACAGGAATAATGGAGTAGATGAGATAAGAGTGGATGAAGGAGAGCCATGGTCTCTCCCTTAGAAGCACCATTTGAGTTTGCTTTGGTCGTCCATGGAAGGTAGGGGGAGTGGGCAGTGAGAGAGGAGGGAAAGTGGTTATAAGTCTTCTCGCTTCTTCAGGATGAGCTTCCTCACAAGCGCTGTGATCTGGGGTCTGATCTCCTCCACCGACACGGTTGGGTCCCAAGCCCCTACCACCTTTCCATCCGGGGCCACTAGGTACTTCCAGAAGTTCCAAGTGGGCTCCTTTCCAGAAGTTTCTAGAGCAAAAGGAAGAAGGAGAGCCAACTGTGCTTCTCTGTGGTACCTCTCCTGGAATTCCACTATCGGTGTCCATTCTTTCCTTGAAGCAGTGGTTCTATTAATTAAAATTAACTGAAGAGTTTTAAAAATCCTGATGCCCAGTCCACCTCCTTGAAACCATTTAAATCACAATCTCTTGGGGGTAAAAGTCAGGCATGAGTATTTTTCAAAAACTCTCCAGGAGACTCTAATGTAATGCCAAGGTTGAGAACTACTGCTCTAGGATTCTGTGAAGTGCTTGATAAAGCAGTATTAGATCTTCCTTAATTAATGATCTCAAACTACTGAACAGTCTACACCCTATTCTCTAATGAAATCTACACAGTTTCCAGCCTAGCGGGAGTGGCTTAGTGGTTGAGCATTGACCTATGACCTAGGAGATCCCGGTTCGATTCCTGGTCGGGGCACATGCCCGGGTTGCGGGCTCCATCCCCAGTCTGGGGTGTGCGGGAGGCAGCTGATCAGTGATTCTCTCTCATCATTTATGTTTCTATCTCTCTCTCTCTCCCTCTCCCTTCCTCTCTCTGAAATCAGTAAAGACATATTTCACAAAAATAAAATAAATAAATAAATAATACTTTCCAAATGTTCATAGACTGTTTGCATTTGAATCGTGGTGGTGAGGGGCACATAAAATAAACAGATTCTTGGGCCCTACTTCAGTAGGTTTTAGGCTAATGCATTTTTAAGAGCTCCCTAGGTGCTGCTAAAGCAGGGCTAGGTTTTATCTATAACTATGGTAACTGGGAAGGAACTAATAAAAACACATGGGGGAAAAAAAGTAAATATTAGGATTGACCTACAGAGCAAAATTCCAATCTGCCTCAGTAAGGGGCCTTTTGCTTGCTACACTGTTGTTTCTCATTTACTTCTCCAGGTGAAAGGGTTGGTGGGTTGTGGTGAGGGATATGAAGGCAACCACAAGCAGGGAGTGGGAGACGGCAAGAATGGAGCCCCCTGAAGGAGGAGTGAGGCCCCGGGGAGGAAACAGGACCATAATGACAAGTGTGGCCCATGACCCCATTTTGTGGCTCTTAGGCTCCTGGGGCTGGAGAAGGGATCTCTTTCTAAATATTGAGATCTGGCATTTTAGCTCAGGTTTCTCTCCCATGCCAACAGACTTTGACTCTGATTCAGGACAGAGGATGCCTGTCAGCCTTCTCCAGGCATGTGGCATCCCCTCCCGTCTGCACCTCCAACCTAAGTCCAACTAATTCACATTGACTAAAATCTGAGGGCCCATTCTCCTTCCAGGAGCCCCTGCATATGAAAACAGGATCTCAGAGATGTCTGCAAGAGTGACTCTGGGAGAGAACAGAAAGGCAACAGGGCGAAGATATTCTTAGACAAGAATACTCCTCAGCTCATCCTCAAAGATTAGTGCTGGAACAGACCATCAACCCATCTGGTGGTGGGGAGGCTGGAAAGGGCCCCTGGTCATTCAGCCAGCCCATGGCCTCTGCTGCCCAGGGAGCCAAGGCCTCAGCCAGCTGAGGGAAGGTGAGGGGAAGGATCAGGACTCACGGGTCAGGTACTTGAAGGCAGGGTGGGCACCAGTTCCAGTCACTGCGACCTTGCTAAACATGGGGAAAGAGACACTGTAGGTGCGGCGGGCAAAACTCTCAATTTCCTTGTTGCTGTCGGGCTCCTGTTGGCCAAACTGGTTGCAGGGGAAGGCAAGCACATTGAAGTGGTGGGGCCCCAGGTCTCGCTGTAGCTGCTGCAGGGCCCGGTAGTGTTCCTCTGTGAAGCCACACTCGCTGGCCACATTCACCACCAGGGACACCTGAGTGGCAGAAACAAAACCCAGACATGCACAACCCAGTGAAGAGGCAAGCACTTGCACATGTCCTGACATGCCCACATGTGTGACTCCCCCTACAGTTAATTCTCTCATACATACAACACAATGTATACACGAAAATGGAAGTGCAGTGTTCTCACATATACACAAACACATGCACAAATGAAATCAAACACACAGGGCTTACAGATGTGTGTATACATACATGAACATTCATGAGAATAAGCACACAATATTTGCAGATGGGTATGCATATGCCCCATGATACAAAGATACATTAGCACACATCACACATGCCCACAAACACACAGCACAGTCATAGAGAGGCATACACACTGGGGAGCTCATATCAAGAGGTGATGTGGGGGAGTAGAAAGGTAGACCTGAGGTCAATTTCTGGCATGGTCAGCTAGAACTCATCACTGTAGTTGCCTGTATATGTGTCAGTCTGCCTTCTAGAATGCAAACCCACTGAGGGCAGGAGCTATGTCCACTTCACTCCAGAGCCTGATGTATGGAAAAGTCTCAGAAAGTACCTGCTGAATGAATCAGTGTGCATACATACACATCGCCTGCTTGGGTACATAGACAGACATGGGTTTTCTTGATAAAAGGATCCCAAAGTACCCAGGGCAATCCCTTTTTGCCCCTCTCCCTCCAACAAACAATCACTACTTTCTTCTATAACTAGATTCACCCTTAAATTTATTATAGCCTTATCATAAATTTATTTATGTAAGTTTGTTTATAAATTTATTTCTTTATATAAATTTGTTTATAAATTTATTTTGTACCTTTAGGTGATAAATATAAAGCTGGCTGATGGAACTTGATTATAATACTGCAGCTAGAATTCTGGCACCAATGCTATGTTTTTAGCTTCTAGTCATATATTATTAAAGGATTTTAAAACTTACCTTGTATCTGGGCTGCCCAGCCCTACCTCTCTGGCCACCTTTTTAGAAGAGCAGGATTATACCAGCTGCCTCCATCAGGAGGGCCATCTCCCAGGGGCAGCCTGGGGCACTGGATATGCATAGGCACAAACTGCTCAGGTTAGATATTTTGGGCTGGGTATTCTTTGTTGTGAGGGGGCTATTCTGTTCATTGTAGGATGTTTAGCAGCATCTCTGACCTTACCCGCTAGATGCCTAGTCTTGACAATCAAAAATGTCTCCACACATTGCTAAATGTCCCCTAGGGAGCAAAATTACCTCCAGTTGAGAAACTCTGAGCTACATAATGAGAACCACTGAGCTGTAACTCCTTCACCTTGCCTCCATCAGGTGAGGAATGACCCATTCCCTGGGGCCACAGGCTGTCACAACCTCCCCCATTTGCATCAGCATATGTCTTACTCTGCCTGTGGTAGTGAGAAACAGGGATCCTTAACTTCCTTTCCCAGTCAGGGGTCTTCCTCTTTCTTCTCTGCTGGATCCCTGGGCATTGAGAGCATTAAAAATTGCTTATTTTTAACCTGCTCTTGTGTGTCTGCCCACTCTTTTGGAAGGAAGGAAATCCTGCTTCTAAGAAGTTGCATGCCTGAAACCAAAAAGCTTATCCTTAACGTGGCCCAAACAGACAGACTCATCCAAATAACATAGTTAATTTGTGTAGCAAGCAAACAAACCACACACACACACACACACACACACACACACACACACACTACTACTACTACACTCAGGCCTACATATACATAACCTCACACTTCAGGCAGGCATATTCCCAAATAGTCACCCATTCATTCATACTCAATGCTGGTCTAAATGACTGTCTTCCCAGTTAGCCCAAGGGCATAAATCATAGTCTTGCTCATGGCTATATCTCCAGGGCTGGACCCAGTGCCAAGCAGGTAGTGAAAGCCAGTACTTTTTTTTTCCAAATCCAGTGCTAAACTTGGGTCTCTGTGGCCTGCTGCACTAGAGGGAAGGAGAGGCCTGAATTGGAGTGGGCCCTGCTCTTATTATTGACTCTTTACTCTGAGTTCTGCATGCAGCTCCTGTTGGGATCCACCAAACACAGGTGCAGAGCCCCCTACCAAGTGCTTCCACACTGTCATCTCATTTAAACTCACAATACCTTGGGAGATGATTAGGACAAGGATTACTGCCCCAAGAATTTAAAGGCTTAGAGAGTACAGTGATACCTCGTTTTTCCAACATCTCCGTTGATGAACATTTCTGTTTACAAACGCCATAAACCTGGAAGTAAATGCTTCGGTTTTCGAACACGCCTCAGAAGTCGAACATGCCACACGGCTTCCTCTGAGTGCAAGATCCTGAGGCCTGGCTGTTGGCTATTGATCCCTTGGTTTTCAAATGTTTCAGAACTCGAACGGTCTTCTGGAATGGATTACATTAGAAAACCAAGGTACCACTGTATTTTCTTCACTAAAGATGGCCTTGCTTCCTGGAGAAGAATGCTGATACCCATTTTTGTGTGGTCCATCCAACTCTGGACAATGGGCCCAACTGTCCATTAAAGACCAACTCCTCACCCTTCCCACACCACAGCCTCACTTGAGAAGTGGACTTGGAGGGCTCTTCATTCCACACAGCACAACATCTTGGCTTCTGAATGTAGTGTCCTAGGCCCCTCTTGGCAACTCCCTACCTACCCTCTTCAGCCTCATCTTACCCCGCTCTCAGCCTCATGCTTTATACTCCTTCAAGCACGACTGCTTGAAGTCACCACCACCATCACCGCCGCCGCCCCCCCATCACACTTGCTGTCTGCTTTGGAGCCTTAACATGGACAATTCTCTGCCTGGAATGCTCTTCTTGATCTTGCTAAGACTCACTCTTGTTTCAAAGACTCACCCCACACACTTTCTCTCTGAAGTCCACTCTGAGCTGAGATGCCTCTTGGTAAGGAGGTAGCAGCCTGGATGACTCATATTTCACCCTGAGCTGCCATCTTAGGAGTCTGCCTAGAGTAGACCAAGGGTGGATGAATGGTTCTCCTCCAGGCTCCGTGCTTTCTAGCGCTGTGTGACCCTGTCCAAATATATCTTCCCTCTCTGGGCCTTCGTGTCCTCCCTGGAGGACGATCTGTGTAAGGCACCCGTGCATTCCTCTGCACTGCACATTCATTTCCAGAATGTTCTCGTAGGACTCAGTATCATCCGCTCCCCCAGCTGCAGACTCGGAAACTGGGGATGGGCGAGACAAAGACCGCAGGATGCTAGGGTTATTTTTTCCCACCCTTTCCTGACAAAGGCTGAGCAGAGGCATGCAGCCTCTGGGAGAGGTCCGGACCCGCAGCCCATATTCGCCAGCAGGGCACTCAGAGCCTGGCGTGAGAGTTTCGGGTTTCACTGTGCGCCAGGGCCAGGGCCGTGCCACGTAGCCGCGGGACAGACCCCGAGCAAGATCTGGGGGCGCGGCACCCTCGGGGCCATGCCCGGGTCGGGGGCAGGGAGCCGGGGCGGCGTCGCCG